TACCAATTAAGCAACTGAGTCGTTACATAGGATGCTTGCTTCCATAAGAAATTTTGGAGCTATCCATTAATAGTAATTCTATGTAGCTATATTATGTATTTGAATCGTTGCTTGGATTCTAGAGGAATTCTAGTACCATTCATTAGGAGTGGCAAGCAGTTGAGCCACTTGTGGGAAAAAAATGGAAAATTGCAATAGCGGTACCAAACATTTCATTAAATAACAGACTTTGTTCAATCCTTTCATTTGTGCTATTCACGGTACCAAACCTTTCAAAATATCACAACTGGAGTCCAAATGAATGAAAATCGTTAGTTGACCAAAAATCACAAGTTTGACCAAATGTTGACTAATTTTAAAGGGTAAAAAAGTAATTTCATATTTTACATATAAAATAACTAAATAAAAAAATTACGTAAAAAAAAAAAAGAAAAAGAAAACATTGTTCATCTTCTTTCCACACCCACCTACCTCAAAATCAAAAATAAAAAACCACCAAAATCTCAGTGCCGCCATTATCCTCTTTCCCTTCACCGTCTACCTCTCGCTAAACCTCGAATTTATCACCCCGAACACAACCATTCAATTTCTCGTCGACATCAACACGAACTCCATTTCTGTCATTCTTAAACTCTTCCATTTTCTTCCTGGTGCGTCTCCTTGATGGTGGTGGACGGGATGGGGTTGGCCCTCTTCTAACACCCAAAAACTCAATACTCTGAGGCGAGGAATTTCGGGCTCCATCCTTAGACGATGAAGGCGAAAATGGAGTATATGCCCTCGGCTCCCGAGGTAGAGGCGATGGGATATAATGCGGTAAAGGAGCTGGAAAATTCAGTAAGCTAGTCGGTGATTTTGATGCTAAGCTCATGGGGCTATTGGAATTCAGCACCACTGATGGTCTATTATCAGATGACGAAGAATGAGCTGGAGAGTTCAAATTAATTGGGTTTAAGCTTTTAGGAAGGGATGACCTCGTGTGAAATGGACTAGCATTTTTCCTGTAGACCCTCTTTGTGAAAAAAAAAACCTCTTCTTCTTCATATTCTTCTGAGGAAGAATAAGAAGAATCTTTGTAATTTTGGTGAGTGTTGACGTGGTAAGGGCGGGAGAGGGTGGAGCTCCGGCGACCCCAGCCGCTGGTAATCTAGCGAAATGGCTGCAGGGCTACTCTTTTCATTTTAGGTGGCGGCAAAGCCAACATTTGCGTCTCGAGAGCTGACTAGTGTACCCAAGTAGAGGAACTCGGAGGTGGTGGAGGTGGAAGTGGGTGTATGGCGGGGGAACGACGGATGTGGTGGATTTTTATTTTTGGTTTTGGGGTGGGTTAGGTGTGAGGGTGTAGGAAGAAGATGATTCTTCTTCTTTTGACTTAATTCTTTTGTTTTAGTTATTTTATATGTAAAAATTACATTTTTACCCTTTTAAAATTAGTAGAAATGGATTCTCTAGTAGACTAAATGAGAACAATGGAATCCGCAGAATCGATGAAATCTTGGTATCAATGTTTGATTTATTATTAAATAAACTAGAGTAAAAAGTTTCATTAGTCACTGAACTTAGCACAACGTCACGTTATAGTCACTGAACTTTCTTTTGCTGCTCAACAGTCACTGAACTTGCAAACTCTCCACTCCATCCATCACCTGGCACCCCATCTGTTTGAAGCAATCGGACGTGGCTTGACGGAGCTCCATGTGGCAACCGACGGTGTCAATATTGTACACGGTGGACGCGATTTCCATTTTAAAACACGATCTACATGAACAAAATCACGATTGAAATTTTTTTCCCCCAAGTCACACTTGCAAGAACCCTAGAATCACAAAAAAATCAGAAACTCTCCCCCAATTCAACAAACCATTTCGCCCAAATACACGATTGAAAACCATCCCCATCATCCCTAATCCTAAATCCGAGCTCTAGAATTGATTCATTCAAAACTCTCCCCCAATTCGATTGTGCAACCCCCGAAGTCGCGATTGCAGATTTTAGCAAATGGCAAGATCCATCAACCGCTAACCTGATATCTCGATTGCTAGAGCTGAAGGTTTTTAAAAAGTTGCACGCATGGAGGGAGAAGGTGGAGGTAAACTGATTTTGCTTTTATTTTTTTTTTTTATCCTCCTCTGTTCTTTTGCTGATGATGTTTTTCTCCTTCCATCTATGTCTTCAGTTGGCTTATCTTTTCTCCTTTCATCTGCGTCTCAACCCCTTTTTTAACCATTTTCCTTGTGGCTTCAGTTTTGTTGGGTCTCAATATATATTCTTAACTGTGCATCCGTCTGTTTATTTAGAAAAACATTAAGTCAACCTAATGTTGTGAATATCCATCTGGTCTTAATTTGTCATGTGCTCATGTATTCTGTTTCATGATTGTTCATCTAAACTGTACCAATTTTTTAGTTCAAATTGTGTACTGAGGTGGAAGAAAGCTATTTGGTTTAAGCGTGTACATTAGAGGTGAATTAATTTTTCTCATGGATTTTGACAGGTCATGAGGAAGACTCTGACTTCTTTCAGTCAGATATTGATATGGTTTCCGAGGAAGATGATATGTTGTACGATCATAATGTGACGGACGGCATTGAAATTGGTATGGAAATCAATGTAGTGGGACAAGATGGAACAGTAATGCTTGGAAGGGAGATGGACGACGTGAACAAAGTCAATGACTTGGAGTATCCATCCTCTGAAGAGCTAACTTTGGAATGTTCATTGGAAGAAGAGAGTGGCTATCGCTTCCCTGAGTTTTTTTTGTTTTGTGGCAGCAGTGCAAATGTTTTTTTTTCTTGCCTGGAGTCTTGTTATATAGCTATATCATCCAACAATTTGTTATGTATATTTTCAGCAAGTTTAAGTGTTTCTTTTTGATAAATTATATGGGTTTTTTAAGTAGTTGATGGAGAGTTGACAGTGTTAGCGCTATGAGTGCATAAATTCTGTTTGCTGGGAAAAATGCAGAGCCAAGGCACTATGTTTGCAACACTTGGGCGCTGCCTTTATGCATTTTTTTCCTTCATATGTGACATTTGTATATTTGCTAACTAGATAAGTTTGTAAAGATGCAAAATATGACTCAACAACCAAGTCTTAGGACACATGAACACCGGGCATCATATCCTATCACAAAAATACAAGGTTATTGAAATTCCCTTCACATTTAATAGCCACAAAAAGTTGTACATTCCATACCTAGATCTTGATCAAATAAACAATGCCCAAAAACACGATCCAGTAGACTAACGGGTAACCTAAAATGAGACCCAAAAAAGTGGTCGTTTCATTCAAGTATCAAACTGCCCATGTGTACGGACAGATTGCAAAGCGGCTGCTAGTCCAGATCTAAGCTTCACTGCATACATGTCTCCCGCAACCGTAGGTGTCGGTATGAACTGCATTTGATGTTCGTCATGCGTGTTTATGATCGATGATCCCTTACCCCTTGTGGTGAACATTTTTCCCTATACAATCAAACAAACACATCAAACCTGAATGTTTATGCTCAGATTTCATGAAGAAATTAAAAACAAGAGCTTGATGTCTACTTACTGGTTTATTAACTGCTAGATTGCAATTGGTCGCAACTGGTTGTAATTCGGCTTCTAACCAGTCTTGGTTGATAAAAGGCAATTGACAAAAAAAAAATCAATTATCATATCAAGACTCGTGTGCAAGAAAAGTTAATCACTGGGCAAATCAACTAAAATATTGTTTAAAAATTAGAAACTAAGCTCTAAAATCAATCACAAACATTGCTCATTTACTCCATTTTAGTTGATTTTGAATTCAACTAAACCTGCCCAAATAAAACAAAATAACAGCCCAACGAAAATATCGTTCCTATTAATCATGAGTTCATGAAAAAAAATAAAGGACAGATTCAAAGAATGTATGAGAATAATTACACTTCAAAGTACATGAAATCAACAAGCCTCCATCCGCTCCTTCCATTCTTTCAATTTTCTCTCCTTCAGATGTGCTCTTGTCCAAATCAGTCGGCTATTTTTTAGCTTTCTTTGCAAGATTTAGGGATTAGGATTTCGATCGTTGTTGGACAAGATGGTGGGTTTACGGGTTGAAAATCAACTTAAGATGGTGATGACCTTCATAGCGTTGAATCAATTTATGGTGTACGCAATTTTGGGATCGTGGTTTGGGGAAAAATTCGATTAGGGTTCATCTCAACTAGAGGTGCGGTTTTAATTTGTAAGTAATGATTTTAGGAGGTTTTAATTTGTAAGTAATGATTTTAGGAAACATGTGTATTACGTGGCTGGGTGATTACGCCGTTAGATGCCAAGTAGGACGTCGTTGTGCCACGTCAGATGAGTTCCAAACGGCTAGGTGATGAGTGATGGATGGAGAATATGTTTGGTAAGTTCAGTGACCGTTTAGAGGAATTTCAAAGTATAGTGACTACAACGTGACGACATTCAAAGTTCAGTTATTAATGAAACGTTTTACTCAATAAACTAAAAATAAGGCTTCCATTTTATTTTTTTTTAAATTTTGGTATTAAATAATGCCGGGAAGTTTTGGCCTTCATATTCTCTTCTATTATATAATTCGATTATTAATTTGAAATGGTGCGGTATTTGTCACCAACCTTGTCCCATTTAAGATTCCAATCACCTTAATTTTATAAACTTATAATTTGTCGCCTTGCACTTGTGTCCAAACTCATTTGTACTCATTTTGTAAATAAAATCTCCTTTTTTCTGGAAAATTACAATTAAATATTTTGTTCAAAAATATTATTGAAAGTAGTCCAAAATAAGTGCTTATGCATAATAATTATTTAATCTAATTGCTTATCATTCAACTGATAAACAGAAAAAAAACAAGCACCAATGGACACCAACAAAGACGCACTCCCACCCCCACCCCTCCGCCTGCCGTCCCAACCTCCATTTTTGTCTTCTTTATAACTCTCCGATCACTCTCTCCATAAACACACACTTTCACACACAGTTACGCACTAACACTTCTTCAATTCAATGGCTTCTTCTTCTTCAGTCGCGTTGAATTCCAAAATTTATTACAATAGGATAACCTACTCGGTGCTGGAGAAAACTCCGTTGTCTTCTTCTCAACATGTTTCAGTGAGCTTTCCATTCGAAGGCTTTTCAAGGAGAGTTTTGTCGAACGAACTTCGGTGTCGTGGAGTTGTAGTGAGAGCATCATCCACTGGAATAATTGAGCCAAAGGTGGTGGATGATCGAACCGCCGTCGGAGAAAAAGGTAGGGTTTTGAGAGTCGGGCTAATTTGCGGTGGCCCTTCTGCTGAACGTGGAATCTCACTCAACTCAGCTAGATCAGTCCTCGATCACATTCAGGTACCCTAAAGGCACATGTTTGGCTAGTCTTAAAAAGTTCATTTTTCAGTAAATTAACGTATAAATTAAAAAAAAAAAAGTGAGTTCTCAAATAAAGAATGCTTGTATCTGTGTTCAAAATAAGTTACTGGAGTTTGATTTGAAAGAAACTTGTTTTACTTAAGTAACTGAAGAAAGTTACTTGAAATTGCCAGATTTCGTTATTGCCTGATAAAAAAAGTTACTTAATTAAAGAAAGACTTTAATTTGACTTTGAAGTTGAGTTGACTTTTGTCTACATTTTTTTATTAGAATTGTTGTTATTATTTTGGCTTCTTTTTTTTTTTTTGGTTTGGACAGGGGGATGATTTGCATGTGAGCTGCTATTACATTGACTGCAACCTCAAAGCATATGCAATATCCTCTGCTCAGGTTTGGAAACATAGTTTTTCTTGTTTTACTTTATAGTAGTTTCCAGATTTCTCAATTCTCACCTTCTGCATGCAGTTTAAATTACAAATTCATAATATAAGCACCCATTACTGCTTTTCTATTCTACATTGAAGCTTGACTACAAAAAAATCGTTTTAATTTCCAAAAGTAGAAGTGTCGTTTAGCCTTCAAGCAAGTTTTATTTTAGATGTTATTTCGTCTTGAAATTCACTTGAGCTCATGTACCTTAGTTCCTTTCATTGATATACATCATTGCTTAAATTGTTGACGAAGATATTTTGTTTCTCAAATCAACACCAGTTGCAAACAATATGTTTAGTTTATTATAGTTGTAAATGTGAATCGTGTTTTATGCATATCATCCTTTCCCGTTTCAGATTTTGTCCACTGTTAAGGAGATTTTTAATCTTTTCGCCTTACTCTTTTGTAAATGTGAATCGTGTTTTATGCATATCATCCTTTCCCGTTTCAGATTTTGTCCACTGTTAAGGAGATTTTTAATCTTTTCGCCTTACTCTTTCAGTTTTGGGATTTCAGTCTCTAATCTTTGTATTTGTTCCAGACATTCTATTCTTTATAGGCTTATTCTGATCCTCCTTCGCCAATGAGTAAGGATCAACTGACTAAACCACAAAAACTATCGTCTGTACATAATAGTTTTGCACACTTTGTTGAGTGTGATTAAGTATTGATGGTTATTCTTCGTATGGGGCTATCTGTTTACTAGTTTTTGGACATTGACCAAAACATTTATTGTACTTGATCATCTGAAATCACCATGAACATCCTTTTTGTATCATGAACTGGGTTAGATTCTTTCATTCTAGCTATCTGGAAGACTTGAATTAAGAAAATGGCAATTTTATTATCAAACTTTAACCTGATTATATCATGGATATGTAGATTTATATCATATATCCTTTAGTGTTAGACATTTCGCTACTATCTCATTATGTTCAAAAACTGGTTGCCTGTGCCTTTAATTTGATATGATACTTTCTGTAAGCTCTTATATGAGTTTCCTTGTTAATCTTGTTATAGGTGTACTCGAACACTCCTGCAGACTTTGATTTCAAACTTGAAACGTAAGCTTTTATTCCTTGACGTCCTATCCGTTGTCTGTGAGTAATTGTTTCTACTAAATTAAATAATTACACTTGCAGCCTTGCTCAAGGTTTTCAGTCACTTTCTGACTTCGTTGAACACCTGTCCACCTCCATGGACATAGTTTTTCCTGTTATACATGGCCGTTTCGGTGAAGATGGTGGTATTCAAGTGAGACTAATGTGAAATGCATGGAATTTATTAACATTCTGGTATTTATTAGAGCTCAGGAGATAATAGTAATTTTATATTAGCTTTTTACATGATGTCTTCAGGAAATATTGGAAAAGGCAAACATTCCATTTGTTGGGACCAAGTCAAGTGAATGCCGCAAAGCTTTTGATAAAGTAATTTTTCTCATTTATTTATTCACTCTTATCTTATTTGTTTGAGTTTGGACGTAATTGTTAATAAGAATATCAGGAAAGCCGGATTCATAAAATGGATTGACTAAAGCTGCTGTATGCTTGCTGACTATCCTCTTTCTTTTGATAATGGCTTTCTATTCTAACTTCTTCAATTGCCAATACATAGCTAGCTATAACTTCTTGATAGTTAACATGAATTGTGTTGTTAGACAATTTAATCCACATCATGGAGAAAAATATATCAAAATATACTGCCATTTGGTGAAGTGTAGAATCATGTAATTAATTACAGCATGATGAGAAACTAAACAGAATCATAGAATTGTAGATCCCAAATCTGTAGACGAACTATCTCCATGAAATAGTCGGGTGTATCTGTGGTATGCCTGTGATATTATCCTCTCATTGATCATCTGATGCTGACATCTGCTTTACTTTAATATTTGCAGTATGATGCCTCTGTGGAACTTGACAAACTAGGATTTGTGACTTTACCCAGTTTCCCAGTGCAGGTGTTCTCTTATTCATTTCTGTTTATTATGTTATGTGCTTTTAAAACGTTGTTTCATTTGATGGGTTCAATTCTTGCATAAAATGCGTGCTTCGTTGTGGTCCATGTTAAACATCCTAAGGTGTTTCAGTTTTTTGTGTTAGCTGTTTCTTCTATTATTTTATATTCTTCGTGGGGGTGAGTACCCATTCCTCAGGCAGAATTCTGTTGCCCATTTATACTGCTAGCTTTCCAGAAATTCAAAAATATCATTGTGACTTATGTTTCTCTGACTTTTCACTTTTACGTACTTGTTAGATGTAACTTCTGGTGTTAGTTTCTTTTGCACGACTTACTGTGTTTGTCGTATATTTATTGTGTTCCTTCTGTTGTAGTGTATGACGTGAAATATCATATTATTTGATTGTTTCAGCTTTAATACTGGAATGATTTGCTCTTGTTTTGTGTTGCATGGACACTTCAACTAAGGTAGCATATTCATGTCCGACACGTGTCTGACACCGACACTCTCTAGCATGGTCATTTTTCTTTCTTTACAAAAATATTAAATATTTTTAACTAAAAGTTAGTATTAAATGCTCCCTCCATCTCATAAAGATAGTCATAGTTCTTTTTTCATATGATATAGGTTAAATAATAAATTTTACTATCATTTTTCTTTATACCCCTACATTAATGCAATCAATATTCAAGGTAATTAAACTATTTTTGGTACTAGTTATTGTTTAATGCAATAATCAAGGTAATTAACATTCCAAAGTCATCTAATATTTATTTAAAGATGAAATATTTTATTTTTTTGGATTTTAATTATTGTTCCAACTACAATTAAATAATGGAGTGGTTTATATTCATGATAACAAAGTACATTAAATAAGGACATATTAGGAGAGTAATATATTTACTGCACTTTCAAATAAGAAATAGGACTATAATTTGGGATAGATAAAAAAAGAAAACATGACTCTCTTTATGGGACTGAGGAAGTAACAAATAAATACTCATATTAAAATATTTCAATAAGAAAAATATTATATTACAAATATTATATATTGTTAAATCAAAGTTAGTATCAAGTAACAAATAGATACTCATGTTTAAAAGATTTCAACAAGAAAACATAATAACAAATATAAAACTAAATTTATAATATATTCATGAAAATTTTTAAAAAATGTAATTAACGTGTCGACGATGTGTAGTATATTGCTTTTTTGAAAAATCAAGTGTTGGCGTATCGCTGCCAGTGTCGGTGTATCATAGCTCTTGTTCATTGCTTTACTTTTCAAACTGATCGTTAAAACTAATCAAGTTGAGAACTTACAGACTCTTCTGAAAATATATTAACAAGCCTGGCCTTCTTGAGAAGTCTTGGGGCACTAAAGCTCAATTTCTTTAGTATGTGTTATATAAATGTGTGAATGTTTTTGCTTTAGCTGAGTCAAAACCCCAAACCATGTTTATATTTTCTTGATACCATTATGTCAAAACCCTAGCCTCTTATATCTTCTTGAACCACATTATCCAAAAGCTAAAATTGTTACATGGGTGATTATTTATTTGAATTTATTCTTCAATGCGCCTCGTCACATGCAAGCTAGATTCTTTTTTTCATCAAAGGCTTGACATGTCACAGGTGCACAAATTAATGGTTGGTGGCAATTATATGTTGAAACTCCTCACCTAAAAGTTTAAGCTTTTAGATGCAGTGGTTCAACATCCTTACGCTCAAAAATATCATTTCCGATTGTTCTTCACTTCTATTGATCTGGTGACATTTAGAAAATGACTTTCAGGGAATTGAATTGGATGAAACTGACCTATCAATGTGGTTTACTAGAAATCATCTGGACACGGAACGAGGAAAAGTTGTGGTAAGACTTATTTCTTGCACTAAAGAGTTCGGAATCACTGATGAACATGATATCACTCTAAGCTTGTTTGACAGTTTAGGCTTCATAAAAAAAATGGCAGGTAAAGCCAACAAGAGCAGGATCAAGTATTGGGGTTTCAGTTGCTTATGGTGTTACTGATTCTCTTAGAAAGGCTAAAGAACTTATTTCAGAGGTAATTTTTTTCTTTTTAACTTTTCAGTTAGGTAGAGAACTCATTTTCTTGATTGTATAAGTACGTCTGTTATCTGCCTCATTGTTTAAGAAACCACAATTATTGATAATTAAAATAATATGGACAGAAGTGATAAAAATTTGAATTGATAACTGAATGCTTGCTGGTGGATACCTCTGCTAAAGGTTCCTTCTGGTTAAAAATCTACAGAATTATTTTGTTAATCCTAAATTGAAATTGCTCGGTTTGGTAGATTTATCCCACCAACAAATGCTGTTCATGGTTTTGGCAGGGAATTGATGATAAAGTCCTTATTGAAATTTTTCTCGAAGGAGGGAGTGAATTTACAGCCATAGTTCTTGACGTGGGCTCTGGTTCTGATTGCCAACCTGTGACCCTTTTGCCAACAGAGGTATACACTTCCATCTCTTTGTTATGATGTTGTCTCTCTGCAATGTGAATTATAGAGGCTACTTTCTGAACTGACAGTTGTGTTGAGATTCTTTTTCCTTCGGCTAACTGCCTCACAACTTCATAGATTATATTATATAATAGAGTCTGGTTTCCTTTAAATTGCTCAAAGTCAATTTTAATTGGTGCCAGACTGAATTACAGATATGTGGCACATAGAGATGATATTATTTTTTCATATTATTGTTTTTTGTTGATAAATAATAAACAGGTTGTATACAACTCGTTATCTAGTTCTGTCCTTGTGCCTCATTCAGTCAATGAGTCAATTGAGGTTTTTTTCTTTTATTATACAATAAACTTCAAATCCATGAGATCCTTATAGCTCTTGTATAACACTGATAATATTAGTTTCACAATTAACCATCACCACCAGACAGGAAAAAAAAATAAATAAAGGTACCGAAAGCCAAATAGTTCTTGGTGTCTGTAGAGGGTATCTTAGCTCTACTTTTTGTCTCGTCAATTCTTCAATGGCGTTTAATAATATTACAAGATGTCTCCAATTCTATCAGTGTAACTGTATACATTAATTTCATTCATGTACTAAATGTTATTTTTGTTCTCTAAAATCAGTCTTTTAATGAGTGAATTACAAGATATGCTGATGTGATGTGTGATACTACTTAATTTTAGATTGAAAGTGGGTTAAAAAAACAGTTGGATAAAATATGGATTTGTCCATAGTCATACAATTAAATCACTAATCTTGGAAAGTCAGCTGTTAATGTAAGTCATTAATCTGGCAAGTTTAGGCTAAAGTGCTGAAACGTAACCTTGTGGAATGAGATATTAGTTATTATTATTATTTTTTTAAATTCTATCCAAATCATTGTATTCACTTGAGCCAGTGTCACACTGGGCTGAGTCCAAGTTTCAAAAGCGTCGTATACATATGCTTTGAAAGTATTACTTCAATTCATACCTTTTTGAGGTCAAAACGGATTTATAATTTTACCTCGCAGCTCATTTTAGCTGCAAATACTGGCCTCTTCTGGTTCAATCACCACAGATTTTGTTTCTCTACTAGGTGGAACTTCAATCTCATGGAAGTGTTGATCTAAGTGAAAAGGATGCTATATTCAATTATAGGCGGAAATATCTCCCAACGCAGCAGGTATAAAAAATATATGAAATTATGTGTCATAATTTTGGATTTGGATTTTAATGTATTCAAAGGATGCATCTCTTATGTGTGTTTAAATTATGTCTTTAATGTAATACCACCGAAGAACGGCATAGATATTTTAGGGTGTCTTTTTTGAAAAGAATTCCTATTTATCGCGCTGAATTCTATTTCAGAGACAAACATTACAAGAAAGACGGAATATTGTAGAGGGTCTGAATTAGCAATTGAATTTTCTTTTATGTATCTATTACCTGGGGTATGTTCCTCTTCGCTTTTAAACAATAAAAGTCTGATCCCTTTCAGTACCCTGAACTGGCAGATAATTTGAACCTGACAGTAGACTTAATGAGACTACTACATTAACATCAGTTTACGTGACCATGAAAACTTTGCAGGTTGCTTACCACACTCCACCTCGATTCCCAGAAGATGTAATTAGAAATATTCGCGAAGGAGCTTCTTTATTATTTCAAGCACTTGGCCTTCGTGATTTTGCTAGAATTGATGGTTGGTTTCTGCCTCATTCTGCTCATAGTTCTGATTCTGAAGGCAATAAGTTTGGAACATCTCAGTCGGGCACAATAGTATTCACAGATATTAATTTGGTAAGATTCCCGCTGATCTTCTCAGTGTAAGTTATCAGTGGATTGCGGTCACATGTATTGGATTTTTACCTCCTTTCCCATTTGCAGATTAGTGGAATGGAGCAGACAAGTTTCTTATTTCAACAAGCTTCAAAGGTACTTATATTTCCCCACCCCACTATGTCTTCCCTGGCGAGGTAAACTCATTTCTGGTATTATAGTACTCTGTAGTTGCAGATCTTGATGTGCCTTGATTTATAAAAAAAAAAAGATGTTTTTGGCATTCCAGTATTTTGACTCCGAAATAGTTTCTATATTTGGCCAGTCAATGTCTTGAATGTGTTTAAATTGGCAAAAATAAATTTGTTATAGCTGCCACCTTATTTTGTTAGTTTATTTTTCTACCTCATATGCATAATTTCAATGGGAAGGAGAAATGGAGAGAATTACGAATGTCAGGTCCACTCATTCTATTTGGAATAGGAACATGAAAGGAACATGGCGTAGGATGCAATCAATCAAGTATAAGAGAAGAAAAGAAAGGAGGAAGATAGAATGAGAATTAGACGGACGGAAGGGAGAGAAGAAGAGATAATTTAGGAGGACCATATCAATTTTTATTCATATCAAAGTCGTTTTTTTATTACAAAGCTTAAAACCTTTTTATATAGGGTTTCAACTATCTTATTCTAAGTAGGAAATACTATAAAATCGAACTATAATCATGTTTCCTAAAATAAATGTGAAAAACTGAGAGAAAACTCTAGTTATTCTTATTTCACTGCTTGAAGGAAAACGTACAGTTAAATATATATACATAGGCAGCCAATTAAGACTCCCACTAATTTTGGCACATACCAAATTATTCATCTACTAAACTAGGAAACAAAAAACTAATTAGAAAGAAATCAGGTAACAACCTACCTAATTCTCATTTAACATAAAATAGTATAAAGTTAAGTATGGAAGATATTCCTAGATCATAGGATTAACTTTATTTGGAATCTCTATACTCCCCCTCAAGCTGGATTGTATATGTTGACCATGCCCAGCTTGTTGATCAGATCATCAAAGCTAATCCTAGGTAGAGCTTTACTAAGGACATCTGCAATTTGAGAACCTGTTGGAACATATATCAGTTCAACTATCCCATTTTCAATTTTCTCTGAGATGAAGTGACGATCTATCTCAATGTGCTTAGTCCTGTCATGGTGAACTGGATTCTTTGCGATATTTATGGCTGCTTGATTATCACAAAATAATTTTAGTAACTTCGTAACACAAAAGTCCAACTCTTCGAGCAATCTTCTTAACCACATTCCTTCACAAATTCCAAGCGCCAATGCTCTGAACTTTGCTTCTGCACTGCTCCTTGATACAACTGATTGCTTTTTACTTCTCCATGTTACGAGATTTCCCCATACATAAGTACAGTAACCTGATGTGGATCTACGATCTGAAATATCACCTGCCCAATCAACATCCGAGTAGATTTCAACCTCTTTACTTGAGGACTTCTTGTAGAGTAGGCCTCTTCCTGATGTCGTCTTGAGGTACCTTAGAATTCGGTTAACAACTTCCATGTGTTCTTCTGTTGGATTGTTCATATATTGACTTACTACACTTACAGGAAAGCCAATATCTGGTCGAGTGTGTGAAAGATAAATAAGTTTTCCCATGAGCCGTTGGTATCTTTCCCTGTCAACAGGTGCACTATTCTCGATAGTTCCAATCCTTTTTGTTGAGTCCATGGGAGTATCTACAGGTTTACATCCAAGCATCCCAGTCTCTTGCGGTAGATCTAGGATGTATTTGCGTTGAGACACAAGTATACAATGTTGTGATCGTGCTACTTCCATGCCTAGGAAGTATTTTAGATACCCCAGGTCTTTTACTTCAAATTCTTTTGCTAAGAACCTCTTTAATCTGGATAGCTCATCCTCGAAGTCACCTGTAAGTATAATGTCGTCTACATACACTATCAAGATTGCTTTCTTTCATTCAGGTGAACATTTGATAAAAAGAGTATGATCTGCTTGACACTGAGTATAGCCACACTTGGTCACTGATTTGGTGAATCTACCAAACCATGCACGAGGTGACTGTGTAAGTCCATAAAGGGATTTTTTTAAGTCTGCAGACCTTATTTGTATTTACTTGATTTTCAAACCTCAGTGGAACCTCCATGTACACTTCTTCCTCCAAGTCCTCATTGAGAAATGCATTCTTGATGTCGAGTTGGTAAAGTGGCCAATCCAAGTTTGAGGCTAATGAGAGAAGAATTCGGATTGTATTGAACTTGGCAACCGAAGCGAATGTTTCCTGATAGTCAATTCCATAAGATTGAGTGTATCCCTTAGCAACAAGTCTGGCCTTGAACCTGTCTATGCTTCCATCTGCTTTGTGTTTGATAGTGAAAGTCCATTTGCACCCAACTGGCCTTTTTCCTGTTGGGAGCTCTGAAACTTCCCATGTTCCATTTTTCTCTAAGGCTTGAATTTCTTCCAATACTGCTTTTTTCCATTCTGGAACTTTGAGCGCTTCTTGTAAGTTTCTTGGAATTTGTACTGTATCAAGAGAAGAGACAAATTTCCGGAATGCAGGAGATAATCCTTTATATGACATGAAGTTAGAAATTGGATGCATAGTGCACGATCTCACTCCTTTTCTTAGTGCAATGGGACAATGCAGATCATTATTTGAATCATCATTTAAAGAGACAATCTCACCTGAGTGAATTTCACTTGGCCTTGGATCCGGTTCAGGATCTTGGAGTTGCTTCAGGCGTGTTAATTTCTCTGTCTTCTGGTCAGTTCTTCCTCTCCTTAAGTAGACACGAAGCTCACTTTGCATTGGTTGTGTGTGCTGGACAAACGGAGATAAAGGAATTGATGGACTCGGGCTGGATTAATTTTGGTTTTCAGTTCTGTGGTGTACTAGAAGAATTGCTGGGATTGATTCAATCGGTTGAGATGGAATGGACTCAGCTGGTTGAGGTGGAATGGACCCTACAAGTTGCGGTAAAGACTGATCTTCATTGTTAACAAGTTCCCAAAACTGAAATTCTTGTGTACTCTCCCCCTGAATTGCAGGTTTGGTGTAGTAAGGTTGGTGTTCAAAAAATGTTACATCCATGGAGTTGTAAACTTTTCTAGTAATTGGTGAATAGCACTTGTACCCTTTTTTATTTGGAGAGTATCCGATGAAGATGCACTTGACAGATTTTGGGTCCAACTTGCTGCGGTGATGAGGATGAACATAGACAAATACTGAACAACCAAATATTTTTGTGGGAATTGAAGAAATCACTAGTATTTGGAAATGAATGTAAGAGGACTTGACATGGTGTTTGGAATTGAAGGACTCTTGAAGGCATCCTATTGATAAGGTATGCAGCCGTAAGAATAGCCTCGCCCCAAAATTGTTTTGGAACATGGGTGGAGAACATAAGTGATCTGGCCACTTCTAAGACGTGTCTATTCTTCCTCTCGGCACTTCCATTTTGTTGTGGGGTGTTAACACACGAGTTTTGATGGATTATACCTTGACTCGAGAGATAGTTTCCTAATGTTGACTCAAAGTACTCGGTGGCATTGTCTGTTTTCAACACTTGAATTTTTGACTGGAATTGAGTATGAATCATGTTGCTGAAATTTTTAAATATTTGACCAATCTCATATTTTTCTTTCATTAGGAAAATCCATGTGAGTCGGGTGTGATCATCAACAAAGGCAATAAACCACCTAGTACCTGTCAAATTTTTAACTCTTGTTGGTCCCCACACATCACTATGAATCAATGCAAATGGTTGTAATAGTTTGTAACTTTGGGTAGGATATGAATTACGAGTATGTTTGGCTAGTTGACATATTTCACAATGAAAGTGCTTCGAATTTTTATTGATGAACAGAGAGGGAAACAATTTTTCTAGGTACACGAAGTTTGGATGACCTAAGCGATAGTGCCACAACATAACTACACTATCGTTATTAGAATTACAAAGATTTGATGACTGACTCTTAAATGACATACAACTTGCTGTCTGAACTTGTCTTTCAAGTGAAGAACCATCTCCAAGAAGGTAGAGACCTGAACACGACTCAGCACTGCCAATCGTCCTCTCCGAACCCAAGACCTAAAAATTACACAAATTTGGTGAGAATTAAGCAACACAGTTTAGATCACGGGTCAGTAAATTGCAATCAAGGTTAGGTACTAGAAGTACAGAATCAAGTCTTATATCTTTTGAAATTACGACTGAACCTATTCTAACCACTTTAGAGAGGGACCCATCAGCAATACGAACAGCATAATTTTCATGACACGGGCTGTATTTGTGGAATATAGTTATGTCTCCAGTCATGTGATCTGATGCCCCCGAATCAACAATCCATCTGCTTGTTTTCTTTTTATTAACTGAAAGGGCATCCGAAAGTTTACCTTTTTGTGCCTGATCAGTGTTTGCAGGATTTCCAATTGTTCTTTGCTGAACGGGCTTGACTGGGTTGCGGCTGGATTTTCGTTAATTGAGGCCAGGTTTCCACGTCCTTCTCTATCATTGTATGGTCGGGATGGTTTCCAATCAGGAGGTTTCCCATGAAGCTTCCAGCAATTCTCCTTGGTGTGACCCAATCGTCGGCAATGGTCGCACCATGGCCTTTCCTTTTTCTGACGATTATTATTGCTGGCGAATTGAGTTCCTCGGGCAACAAGTGCATAAGTCTCAAGTGTTGGTGTAGTGTTATCCAATCCCATCATCACCCTTTTTCTACTCTCCTCTCGACGGACTTCTGAAAATGTAGTTCGAATGTTGGGAAGTGGTTTTGTCCCTAGTACACGTCACTTGACTTCATTGAGGTTTTTTTTTAGACCAAGAAGGAATTTGAAAATACGTTTCTTTTCAACAATTTTTCTGTACCTGAGTTCATCTTGCGGGCAAGACCGTTCAGTTTCTTCGAACATGTCTAGGTGTTGCCAATAACGAATGAGTGCATTGAAATAAGTGACTATGAGATCTCCTTGATGTAGGTTATGGAGGTGGGTTTCTATTTCAAACAATGCGGCTGTGTTCTCGTTGTTGGAATAGGTCTCTTTGGTTGTGTCCCAGATTTCTTTTGCAGTCCCATACAATAGGAAATTTTCTCCTATCTCGTTGGTCATGGAGTTGATCAACCATGACATCACCATGTTATTTTCTGTCTTCCAGATCTTGAATTTGGGATCTTCCTTTGTTGGCTGAATAGCTGCGCCAGTGAGGTAGTCATCTTTACCTTATCTGCAGATGAACATCATCATTGACTGGGACCATTGAAGGAAATTATGCCCATTTAGTTTGTGTCCAATGATTGAGAGAAGAGAGCCTTCTGATCCTCCAGCAGCTTCTGGATTGGAGGTGACATTGGTAGAACTGGAATGCTGGCTCTGATACCATGTGAAAAACTGAGAGAAAACTCTAATTATTCTTATTTCACTGCTTGAAGGAAAACGTACAGTTAAATATATATACATAGGCAGCCAATTAAGACTCCCACTAATTTTGGTACATACCAAATTATTCATCTACTAAACTAGGAAACAAAAAACTAATTAAAGAGAAATCAGGTAACAACCTACCTAATTCTCATTTAACATAAAATAGCATAAAGTTAAATATGGAAGATATTCCTAGACCATAGGATTAACTTTATTTGGAATCTCTACAATAAATATAAAAATTGGAAACCAAATATGATAATATCTTTTCTAATATTATATCATTTCTCCCCGATTGAGAGAACTCGACTCCAACGAGATAGACTGCGACATCTTGGTCAAGGAGTAGGATCTTAGTACCTGATGGAACCAACCGTGTAACAACAACTAAATCTGGAACCAACCGTGTAACAACAACTAAATCTGGAAATCATCCTAAAAAATATGATGCGACCAAGGGGGACGATCTTTTTGTTTAACCAAATAGCAACAACGAACTCCAAAAAGCAACTTGTATGACTCATCTACAAAAGTTACCACTAAATTCACATTAGCACAATGCATTAGCACGGTAGATTTGCCTACCAAAACTTATGAATGCAATATTGATGGCTCGAATGTGGCCCTACAAGGGAATAATTCTGCTTTATTGAAAACAAAACATTCACTTAGGTGCGATAGCCCGTCAAATAGCTTAGTTTTTCAAGTGCATCATGTTTAGGTTGCAATGCTATATGTAAATCTTTAACTATATTATGGTTGATTATGTTGAATTCTTGCTATCAGAATATTCAACGGGCTCAATAATAAAACCTCATGTTCTTCTTCATGATGAGGAGTTGCACAACCAAACTTGGGAAGTGACTACTGTGGTAGACCTAGTGTATGACATGCTCGGCATAGACAGAAAGATATGTACTAAAGGTTGGTCTGTCGATAAACATCATATAAGGATTAAGGTGTGGTAATTTTTTTAGGCATGATCTTAGTATTTAAACCATTGAGAAACCTAGACTCTCTATTGTGGGAAGCTTTATAAATATCACAACCATGCAATAGCTCTTCGAAGTGGACCAAATATTTCCTAATAATGGATGTACCTTGTTTATATTGTAAAAGGGATTGATCTAGAAATTGAATTCTATAGTACACAACGACGTATTAATTATTTAATACTCATTCATCTCATCTTAGAAAGTAATAGAGTGTTGATCAAGATGATCAATGTCATTCAAAAAGGACTTCCAATAACATTTAGTAGAGCTGACAAGTGACATATTAGCATGATAAAGACAACGAAAGTCATTCAATTGTGAAATTCAAAGAATTTTTCAAGAGTATCGAGCTAATCAAGAACTTACTCGGGACCAATAAGACCATCAAAATTTCCTAGTTGTAATGTAAGTCAGGGACAGAGTCTTTTGACGGGGTTTGGGGAATAACTGTACTGCCAAGAGAAAGGCGCACTATCGTGATAACCTAGGGGCGTGATGTAGCTGTAAGAGATGCTATATGAATTCATGATGTTTTAGGACATTTTTTTCTATTGACATGCAAGAACACCCAAAAAAAAGTATGTTTTCTACATAAAAGAAATTGATACCTCATGAAATTTAGAAGAGTCAAACGATGTCCTACTCATCATCTTCAAGCTGATTCAATTGAAAACTCCTGAGCGACTCATGCAATTAACAGGGATAGAATAGATCACGGCTCCTACAAACAATAGACATAAAACAATAATGAAAGAACTAATCTAGTTCAAAATTTGCTTAAACGGTGAACACCAAAATTTATTCATATCAATGTCTTTTTTTTCTTTTTTTTTACAAAGCATAAGATCCCTTTATATAAAGTTTCAAAGACCCTATTCTAAGGAACAAATACTATAAAATTAAACCCTAATTATGTTTCCTAAAATAAACATAAAAATTGGAAACTAAGCCCTTGTTCACCCCTTTTTTACGAAACGTTGATTTTGTAGCAGTGATTTTTTTAGAGAATGTGTGGTTGAAAATGAGTTCGGGAAAGAAATGAGTTTTTGAATGATGGGGCTTAAACACGGGCTAAATATAATAATATCTCTTCTAATATTCCATCAAAACAATTTCAAACCGAAGGCACATGTGTTGCATTATGAGGATGATTTCTTCAACCTTAATTTTCCGGTCTTTTTTTTGCACTTTTATGAAGAAACTGTTAATGCTTTTCAACATCATGGAATTCATTGTAAGATTTAACCAGCCCATTTCCTTCCCTACCCACCGAAATACCAAAATTTTCAGCCTTTTATATCCAAATGCCATGGTAAAAGAAAAAGAATTTAGTGATAAAATTTTGTTTCTAAACTCAGTTTTTATGCCACACGAACACCCATTTACATACATTCATATACACAGGTTTATAGAGGTAGAATATGAATCATACATCATCATCCCATGGTATCTTCATGTACAGGTTGGATTCTCACATTCTAATATCCTTCGGACCATAATCCGACGTGCTTGCTCGCGGTTTCCAAATCTTCTGGAATTCAATATTGTGTCTACCTCTTTTAGAAGATCAAAATCTTCCCTAGTTAATGAAGCTTTTCCAAAACATCAAGACGTGCGGAAGATCTTTGTTATTTTTGGTGGAGATACTTCGGAACGGCAAGTGTCACTCATGAGTGGAACTAATGTCTGGCTTAACCTGAATGCATTTGATGATGTAAGTGTTCACATTCTGTGAATTAATTATGCGGTGCTTTAGGAACTGTAACTTTTTCTTGGCTGTTGAATATATCTTTTATACTTTCAGCAACCCACCTCGGATTCGAACTTCTCTCTTTCATACTCTGGCTTAGCATTAAATTACCTTCTGATTCACATTTTAGCCTCATAAGTTGATGTGGATGCCTTTTGGCTTTGTTGGTTACAGCTTGATGTAATACCATGTTTGCTTGCCCCTACAAGTGGTAATTTATCCCATCTGAATTCTGACAAGACAGAATCGGGAGCAAGCTCCAGGATAGTTTGGTCACTACCGTAAGTATAAATCATCATGCTTTACTACCTACCATTACACTCAAATATTTCCGAGCTCTGCTCCCCATCCCTCTCTGGGCGATGCCAAATTTGTTGAAAACTTACTGATCGTTCTCTCTTCTTTCAGTCTGTCAGTTGTTGCACAGTTTTTTCTATGATATTCAATCACTACTTGCGGGACCTGATTTTTCCTTATCTGTACGCTGTCGGCAATGAATGGAATAGCAAAATATTTAGTCCAGTTCTTCCGTTGTTAACCATGATAATTTCTAACTGGGCTGCATTTTTGTATTTTGTTGGGATTGCTGTATTTCAGAGTAGCAATCAGACAATTGTGGGGGCTAGTTGGACTATGTACGTTGATGTAATAGAACATCTTTAACATATAAGGGCATATTTATTGTTTTTTCATTTCAAATAACTAAAGAGCACGGTCAGTTAGGGCACCAGTGTTGAAGGATTCTCTTATTTGCTGAGATTAAATGACCATCATTAGAGTTATGATGTAATGTGTCCTCTTTGGATACAGCTCAATGCAGTAAACATATAAACATATGATCATGTGATGATACTTGGCTATGGCACTCTTATCTTTTTCCCCTTTCTTTTGTCCATTACATTGGTCTTTCTTTGTACACAGTTATTCAGTTGTCCTTAGACATACAACAGAAGAAGTTCTTGATGCTTGTATTGAAGCAATTGAACCTGTCCGGGCAGCATTGACATCTCGCTTGCGGAGCCAAGTAATGGATGATATCATGGAAGGCTTGAAGAAACATGAATGGTTCAGAGGGTTCGATATATCTGACGAATTACCTAAGAGATATACTCTGGACCAGTGGATCAAGGAAGCTAAGAAAATTGGGGCTGCTGTTTTTATTGCAGGTTCAAATATTTTAAAAAATTTACAGTCACTTGATTTTATGTTCAGTTTCAATTTCCATCTTTAACACTTGTGGCTGCATTCTTTCGCTCATCATGAGGAATGAGGATGTGCGGGATGCGCTATGGAACTAGAGAAAGAGGCGATGCTGGATCATCAATCTAATCACCCCCATCACTGCACTGCACCGCACCCCAATGTTTCTGCAACCTGCAGATTAGCCCTTTCTCATAAACTCATCTCCTTGCGGTTTTCAAAGCTCTGCTGATTGCCCCTTCCATTAACTTGTCTAAGTGCATTAATGTTTTGGTGTGGAATGACCATTTTGCCCCTGAAATTTTATGATGCTATTTTCGTATGGAGATAAAAGTCATTTCACATTGAAAACGACTAACACCATTAAGACAAGTGAAAGGGGGATTGTTAGCATGGTTTTGATCTACGAGAAGTACATTGCATTTTAAACCATAGGGTGGTATCTATAGGTTTCGAGACACCAATGTAGCAACATTCACATGATTCTTTGAACAGACACAGAAGTTAACTCTGGAGTATCAAAAGACGAATAATACGTGGATAAGTTTGATTAGTGTACAAAGCCATGAAATATTTTTTTTTTCCTGTAAAAGAAGAAAGGTAATTCTTGTTTGATTTCCAAACTTGGAGCAGCAGAACTGGCATCTAGACACTAAGGAAATTCTATCAAGTTTGCAATTTTCCTTGAACTCCTGAAGGCTATTTTATGTTAAAAAATGACCTCTAGCAACTCACTTGAATCTCTTTTTCAATAAAGGAAAAATTAGAATTTTGTAATTGTTTATAGCATTATATATTTGGATATGGTGTGCTTTTACCTAGTGGTTAAGGGACCTGAAAATGCAAAACAAGTGCTGGAGAGTGAAGTATATCAAGCAATAACACTGGCTATATTATATCCTGGACAGTGCATGGAGGCATAGGTGAAGACGGCACGCTCCAGTCATTGTTGGAGGCTGAAGGAGTCTCTTATACAGGTAAATAAACTTCTATTGGAGCTTGGCAGAAAATAATATGTTAGTTTCTTTAACTCCCGTACAAAACAAATAGTGGATCAGCTACTATTTGTTCTACTTGTAAGTTACTTTTGTGACACGAAGTTGACATATGCTATTCCAAATTTAAGGCCCTGGCGTCAAGGCTTCCAAGACATGTATGGATAAAGTTGCTACATCCCTTGCTCTCCAACATGTACGGTAACTTTTCTAATCATATGGGTTAGAGTATAATATTCTCTGATTTTCTTTTTCTCTTTTAGTTTGATAATTCTTGTACTTAAATTAGGAACTAGACCATCATTTGTTGCCTTAAGACACTACTCAATTCGAAGTAAGTATTTTTTCTCCAACGTGTACTAATAATAACAAGAATACGAAAGTAAGGCTGCCTAAATGTACTTTTAGTAGAAAGCAATGTTTTTCTCTTCAAATAGAGTTTTGTGAATGATCTTGCTGGAAAGTTCTTATTTTAAACTCAAACTATGTTAACTTTTTTTCTGGCATTGAATGCTTTGCTCGAACTCTTTGAATCTTCATGATGAATATGATCAACTAAGCAGTGTTTTACAATATAATATTTTGCCAATAACCAAAAGCAATCTAAGTTTATTGATAGTTGTTGAGATCATCAGGCAGAATAATCCGGGATAAATGCCCTGAGCTGACCATATTATTAGTATTATTCCATTTGAACTATGGGAATTTTGTAATTTATTTGCTCGTTAATTTGGAAAATAGTTCTGGTTGAGTTATATTGTACTGTAGCTTGAAATTTCATTGTCGGAGCTGTCTAATTTATGACTCTCTAACACTGCTGATCACTTTGTATAAGGCACCTTGTGCATTTTGTCTAATCTCTAATGAGCTTCAAATCTATTATGATGTATAGCTTGCAGAGTATGGAGTCCTCACAATAAATAAGGATGTCCGGAGTAAAGAGGATTTACTGAAAATTCCTCTACATGATATTTGGCGTGACTTGACATCAAAGCTTCAGTGTGAAACATTATGTATTAAACCATCTAGAGATGGTTGCTCGACTGGAGTTGCAAGATTATGGTAGGTTGTGTCTTCTGTCTGCTGTTATTTGTTCTGACTGTTCATTTGGCTGATTTTTGAAGATATTATGACTTCCAGTTGTTATTTTATTTGCAATAGCATGATGCATGTTATTTCTTTGATACAGTTGTGATAAGGATCTCATGGTATACATAAAAGCACTGGAGAGTTCTCTTCCTCGAATTCCTCCTAATAGTTTCACGAAGGTATTGATGTTCTGTATTTCAATGTGTTTTGCTTATCCATAAAAAAATCTCTGATGGTTCAATTCATAGATTCCTCTGAATGTTCTTATTGAGAACTCTATCACAAGTAGCATTATTGTATTCCAGTAATATTCATCTTTTCGAAGCATTTTTTCTCCTTCTTTATTCTGCTGTTTCCTTTTTCTCAATATTATACTCTACTGAGGTTAATTTAATGTTTATTATTGCTTTAGTCAGTATGTTGTCACGTAACTATCTATTTGCAAACAAATATTGCCATATCAGCATTCCAATTTTTGCTTCATTTGGTTGCCTTCCTGATAACTTTTGTAGGCTCATGGAATGATTGAAATGCCAATCCCAACTCCAGAACTCTTAATCTTTGAACCTTTTACTGAAACCGACGACATAGTTGTTTCGTCCCAATCAAGTGATGAAAATACACACAATCTTCTATGGAAAGGAAACAGCAGATGGGTAGAGGTAACAGTTGGTGTTGTAGGAAAACGTGGATCGATGCATTCATTGACTCCTAGCATTACCGTGAAAGAAACTGGAGATATATTGTCACTCGAGGAGAAATTTCAAGGTATGTAAAAACAAAGTAAAAACTATATAGTTTGAAGTCATAATTTATGAGTAAATGATAAATTCTCCATATTTCAAGAAATCAATAAATTATAAGCTAGAGCCTTACAATATGATGCATGCTGTCTGAAAACGTCTAATATCTAACATGGGTAATATTGGTATTGCAGGTGGAACTGGCATCAATTTGACTCCACCACCCATCTCTATAATAAGGTTGTGCCTTATCGTCCTTAGTATTTCAAAAAACAAATTGCACAGAAATGTTGGAAATTAAAGTTCAAGTTCCGCATTCGGCATAATTATGATGGTTAACCAACAAATTATGACATCATTTGTTTTATTAATATATGATATGACAGTTTAGTTATTTGAATAAGAACCTAATTGTTTGATACACATCAGCTAAATTTTAATATTCTTGAGGTTTTGATATTTAAATTTTAACGATAAGAAATAGGAGCATTGCCTATGTTCTCTTTGACCATGTTTCATTCAAGTTTCTTTCATTTCTGCATTTTTAGGCTAAAAGACAGGTAAATTTTGAAAAATTAACTTCTTTAGACTCTCATTTGACCTTTATCATGTAATTGTTTGCAAAATCACGACAAGGTTCTGTCGTGCAAGGCATGTTATGTCCTTTTTTCTCATGCTTACATTCTGTTTCTTAAATTAGCGATGGTGCCTTGGAGAAATGTAAACAGCGAATTGAACTAATAGCAAACACCCTACAGTTGGAAGGATTTTCGCGTATTGATGCATTCGTTAATGTTGACAGTGGCGAGGTATGTTCAGTTAAACTCGTGTCATCTGATACATCGCCCTTTATGACTAACAGATATGGGAATACATTGGAACTTCTTTGCTTTATGTATTTTGCTTTATAACATTACTAGGTAGGTTTTGTCAGTGACAAGTTAGTATTCTTGGCGATAGAGCAAATTCTAGAATGACACCGACTTTTATTATGTTTATGTATCAAAGGGTTACTTGGCAATCTTTTTGTGAATCTCGGAAATTAAAATCTTTCTAAAGTCTTTTTCCGGTGTTACATATAGGATCAGAGGGGAAGTGGCTTTATTTAAGTTGAATTATCTAAGTAGATAGAGAGCAAATATTATTATTGAGAAACCTTGTGATTTAAAACTTCTATAAAGTCTCGTTTCGATCGAGTTGTCAAATACTATTGCAGGTGTTGATCATCGAAGTAAACACCGTTCCTGGGATGACACCTTCCACTGTCTTAATTCATCAGGTACTTATTGATATGCTTTTAGATTCTGCTATATATAAACTTCGAAAAGCAAAATATCTGCAACATACATTTGGACAGTTTTTACAGAAATGTCGATGTTGCTAACTAGAACTTTGAAATATACTAACCACTTGAATATTATTCTTTGTGTAGGCACTGGAAGAGCAACCTCCCATTTATCCTCAACGGTTCTTCCGCACACTGCTTGACTTGGCCTCGGAGAGGTGTGTGTAAATTGTTGTGTTACATGTATTGTTATTCCTTTTCGAACACTGTTTTGAACCACATTATAAATTTCTTCCAATTAAAATTTTATGCTTTCACAAATTTTATTTCATTTTCTTTTCAGTTCTGTCAAAAATGACTATACATACAAATTATAGAGGGCAAAGAACGCCTGGAAAATGTCTTGTTTTATTCGTTTCTGGCACTAAAACGAAATTTCTGGTTTTATGGTTTTCGCTATGTCTTGCTGATATGCCACCAGTAGAGCCATTGTTCTTTTAAGATTGTGAGATTTCTTAGCTCGCCAACTAATCGATTTATTATAGCAATATGACATGAACCGCCTGTGCAGAGTGCCCAAAGGTACCCCACACCAAGGCCGCAGGGGCGGATCCAGCACCCGGCTAGTCGGGGCGGCCGTCCGTGCTGGATCCGTTGGGGAAAAAAATTAAATAAGATTTATGAAAAATAATTATATATATATATAAATTAATGTATAACTTTTATTGAAAGGCTGTGTAGATCATTAGGGAGAGGATGCATTTCCACGTGAGAGACTTGAGTTTGATTCTCTTTAACAACATTCTCTCTTTTAATTTTTAAACACGGTAAATAATGACTAAATATTAACTAATAATTGCACCAATGTTCAACAAAATAATGGGTAGCTCATATGGTAAAGGGGTCATTTTGTGCATTAGAGGTATGGGGTTCAATTATCTGCTTTTCTACTTTTTGTTTAATTTTT